AAAAAACAGTCAATTGTTATTTAATGATCGTTAACTTGGTTATCGTTCAGATCGGAGTAAACCTGAAGTTAACACAACCTAGATATACCTCACGGTATACCAAACGTTAAATCTGACACCGTGGCAGCAAGGAGATTTCCACCTTTCTATGAATATGCCTTTGAATGAGCATGACGACTATTTATAAAAGATATAGACATATATCATACTCGGCAATAGGGATAGTCAGTGGAAAGAACTTGTGTGTACAAAGTTACGCGCAAGACTCAGACTTGTTTTAAGCGAATTACTGAGAAGACGACCATAATTATTGGTAATGAGGATACTTTTATTATGGAGTAGATTAACCATCTTGGTTAGGGGGATATTTTTTAGAAGGGAATTATGGAGGAGACTAAACCATGCTTGGCTCGGAGGGTGCTTTTTTTGAAGGAAATTATGGAGGAGACTACCATCTTGGCTTGGAGGATATTTTTTAGAAGGGAATTATGGAATAGACTAACCATCCTGGCTAGGAGGATATTTGTTTTAGAAGGGATTTATGGAGAAGACTAACCATCTTGGCTAAAAGGAGCTTTTGAGGGAATTTATGAAAGAGACTAACTATCTTGGCTAAGAGGATATTTTTTTAATAGGGAATTATGAAGAAGACCAAAGATTTTAGGTGGAAAATGGACTGGAATATTGATGTTTAATATGTCGAGTTCCACTTGGCAAATAAAATGAACTACTTAAGGGTTGTTCAATTTGCACTGAAAGTGATCAATACTAATATTTGAAAAATAACCCACTAGAATGTCAAAGGTTTGACACAATTAACAGATGTTGCAAGACTGGACTTAAAATCACACAAACCAGGGACTAAGCGTAAAGTGGATACTGGTAAAGCTTTAAGTGTATTGTCTCAATGCATGGACAAAAGAGGGCGCTTTATAGTCAAACAAGCAGAAGCCGGAATGAGGGACACTTCACTGGTTCACTCATGCTGGTTATCGTGTATTTGGAACCAGCATTTATAAGCCACGATGGCGCCCAAATGGCCCTCGTTTATAGTTTTCTCTGTGGAGGGGGGGGGGGGGGCTTGAGTGCAAGAAGGAGATTCTACCTTCTCGTTGAGCGTAGTGACTACTTTCTTGCTGATCTTCCAAGGAAACTTCTCCGTGGTCTCCCCTGCTTCCTTATCCAGCATCCAGGGTCTGGACAGCTCCTTGAACCGTCTCAGGCTCTACTCCTTGGGCTTCTTGTTCAGGTCCGGGATGACCTCCACGTCCGAGCAGTTGATGCAGAACTTGCTGAGCATATTGGCCATGTTCATCTTCTCCCTGTCCATTTGCTCCTTCTTGCCCGTGGTGGCAAAGAAGCGCAGCTTGCATTTCTCCCAGTTGGATTTCATGGAGATGAGGTGAGGGATGAGTAGGGTCAAGCCTGGGTGGGAGGGGGGGGGGGGGAGGTGTTGGGCGGAGGTGGGGGGGGGGGTTCACAAACAAAAATTGTACAGAGCATTATTTCTCTGACATAAAGCATGTGTTTCCTTAGACATGCAGCCATCCAGAATAACCTGAGAGATCTCTGAAAGGCTCCATGAAATGAATTGGATACTGAAACATTATATTAAAATAATATCGCCAACCAAGAACAAAAAGTGTGGTGTTTTCTATTACATATAAAAAAAAAACTGTGTGGTAGGGTAGGTAAAAATCTGTTTTGGGGGATTAGACATTTCTATAGCCTACAAATATAGGGTGGGATGATAGTCATTGAAATTTACTTTTTTCTCTATTTTGCATGCATTAGTTAACATGTGAATCATTCTGCACTACTGACCAACTTGCACAAAAATAAATATAAAGTTTATAGTTTTCACTGTGGGGGGGGGGGGGGGGGGGGCTTGATCCCAAGGAGGAGATTCTACCTTTTCTTTGAGCGTGGTGACTTCTTCCTTGCTGATCTTCCAAGGAAACTTCTCCATGGTCTCCCCTGCTTTCTCATCCAGCATCCAGGGTTTGGAGAGCTCCTTGATGATTGTGTTGGTCTTGATCTTACCCAACCAACAGCACAGAACTCCATCTTGGGCAAAATCTTGTCCTTGTACCAGCCTTCAGAAAAAGAAAAAAAAACAGTCAATTGTTATTTAATGATCGTTAACTTGGTTATCGTTCAGATCGGAGTAAACCTGAAGTTAACACAACCTAGATATACCTCACGGTATACCAAACGTTAAATCTGACACCGTGGCAGCAAGGAGATTTCCACCTTTCTATGAATATGCCTTTGAATGAGCATGACGACTATTTATAAAAGATATAGACATATATCATACTCGGCAATAGGGATAGTCAGTGGAAAGAACTTGGGACAGGTGTGTACAAAGTTACGCGCAAGACCTAGACTTGTTTTAAGCGAATTACTGAGAAGACGACCATAATTATTGGGAGTTCAGGATATTTTTATTATGGAGGAGACTAACCATCTTGGCTAGGAGGATATTTTTTTTTTAGAAGGGAACTATGGAGGAGACTATAACCAGCTTGGCTCGGAGGGTGTTTTTTTTTAGAAGGAAATTATGGAGGAGACTAACCATCTTGGCTAGGAGGATATTTTTGGAAGGGTATCATTTAGAAGGGTATTAAGGAGGAAACTAACCATATTGGCTTGCAGGATATTTTTTTAGGAAGGAAGTACAGAGGAGACTAACCATCTTGGCTAGGAGAATATTTTTTAGAAGGGAATTATGGAGGAGAGGAACCATCATGGTTAGGAAGATATTTGTTTTAGAAGGGATTTATGGAGAAGACTAACCATCTTGGCTAAAAGGACATTTTTAGAGGGAATTTATGGAAGAGACTAACTTTCTTGGCTGGGAGGATATTTTTAGCAGGGAATTATGGAGAAGACTAACCAGCTTGGCTAGGAGGATATTTTTTTAGAAGGGAATTATGGAGGAGACTACCCATCTTGGCTTGGAGGATATTTTTTGAAAGGAATTAATGAGGACAACCATCTTGGCTAGGAGGATATATTGTTGTTTTTTTCCAATTGTTTTATTTTTATAGAAGGATCATGAAGTATTAAATATCGTGACAAAGGATGAATTAGTTATAATGCAGGCTAGGGGGTTTACTTTGTTAATGAGGAAAAAGGATTTTGAAATTGGGAATGAGGAAGGAGGTTGAAGGATTAAATGGAAAGAAGGGTTTTACGTTTATGCGTGGAAGATAAGGAAAATGACAAACGTTTATTAATAATAGAACAAGTGAGAATTGTGTAAAGATAAGAAAGTACGGTCTCTCCATTCTCGCCAACAAATCACCCACTCTTTATGGCATTTATGTCAAATCACAGACAACTTGCAACTGTAGCAGGTTACTTATGATCTGCACCGCTAGGTTCTGACCAAATGCTTCACAAGGACAAGCTTTTGTCAAATCACAGACAACTTGCGACCATAGCAGATTACTTACGATCAACACGGCTCCGCATATGAGAAGGGCTGTGCTCTTGGTGATATGGGAGACGAAGTAATCATAATGCTTCACAAGGACAATCTAATGTCCAATCACAGACAAATTACAACTGTAGCAAATTACTTATGATCTGCACCTCTAAGTTCTGATCATAATGCTTCACAGGGACAAGCTTTTGTCAAATCACAGACAAATTGCGACTATAGCAGATTACTTACGATCAGCACTGCTCCGCATATGAGAAGGCTTGTGCTCTTGGTGATATGGGAGACGAAGTGAACCAGGGCAGGCCTGCATCCAGGGCGACCAGTCAATGCAATAATCTGTGGCCTGTACAGGGAAATACAACAATCCACAAATTGAAAGGAAGAGGGAATAGAACCTGGGACCTCCGCATTGCCGCAACTCTAGAATGCAGGGCCACTACACTCTACGTCTTGTTTGTCTATTTTTCATGACTAGTTATGCTAGAATTCAATTCAATGTGTCACTTAATAGCGTGTCCAGCTGGACTGTCGTTTCTGTGCAAAAGTGAGGCAAATATTCTTTTTGGACTGCAGGAAGCCTATCGCCAAGTTTTTGTATATTCTTTTAATATTTTCTAACTCCGAGTCATTTTATTTTTTTCAAGTCATTAAAGAAACATAAGTTAAATTCAATAGGCATGATAGGGTAACGCGTTATTTCGCTTTGTTTAATTGGGGATTGTTAAAATACATATCTAATTGACATGATTAGATCTAAGGATAATAGTTTTCAGCCATTTCCAATTGGTAAATTCTCAACCTTACCTTTTTAATAAAATTTGGTCAAAAACTTCACTTTCCTCTAGACAATGCTTTTCATTCACCATGTTCACACGACTTTCAAAATATTTATAAAAGAAATACGTGTACCAAAAAATGCGTTGCTCAAACCACAAAAATAGCTGCCTAAAATTTGAATGAATGTCAGAAAGCAGGTTTTTGGTGATCACAATATTTGTTTGTCTTTAAAGTGTGAATAAAAAGTCCAGACTGTCTTAGGGCGGTACTCTTACGTTATCCAGTTGTCTGCTGCGCTATTCGGACAATAATGGGGTATATCATCAAACAACAGGCGGCGCCCTTCACAATTAACGGTGTCAAGTGCAGTGACAATCTCATAACCCATTAATTCCCCGCATTAACTAAACAAAAATAAAAACGGATAACGAAACCATTTCCCAATTCCTAAGCAAAAAGAAAAACGGATAACGAAAACCACTCTCCCAATTCCTAAGCAAAAAGAACAACGGATAACGAAATCAATTCCACTTCCTAAGCAAAAAGAAAAACGGATAACGGACTTCGAATCCAAAATCCATTCTCGACAGCAAAACGGAAAACGAATAACGATTCCCACTTCCGCATGCATGATGGGAAAATTCGGACTACGAAACTTTTTCGCAACTTCGTCCCCAGGGTTAACTTTATTTTGTAACTTTCTTTCCTGTATTAAGTACTTGTCAGTGCGTACAGCTCAACACTACGTAAACGAGATTGTATATGACGCCGTTAATTGTGAAGAGCGCCACCTGTTGTTTGGTTATCCGATATCAACATTATGGATAATGTAGCGGTAGGCTAGGCCTGTACATCAGGTAAGTCTGGACTATTTACTTGTCAAAATTCAGCTTCCTTTCGGCGTACTGGAAAGATTCCCATATCTGGACATTACTCAATTTTCCCTTCAGTGATTTATGCCACCATTCCTGTTTAAAACGTCCAAAAATATTGGATTTAGCAGGGAAATTTGTTACCAAAAAACTATAGTCGGAGTCCCTTTACTTTAGTTACCATCGCGGTAATCCTTACTTTTAGGACCCCATTCCTATATACATGATATAGGAAGGGAAAGACTCACCAAAACAGTTGACTAAATGACACTCAAAATTGACTTCTTGGCACATCTGAACAATTGGCAATGACACCTTCTTGAATATCAGCAGGTTTTTAATTTTGTGGAAAGAGGGCAGGGCTTTGTCTTTGATTTATGAGGGAAATTCAGGGGTAAAAGACGACGATGACAACCAGAAAACAGACTCAAAAACCAAGATGGCAAACGTGAAAGCTCGCTGCGATGAAAGCTCGATGCTGATTGGCTGATAAAAAATAAACATCTTAGTCCCTATTTATTTTTAGTCTGGTTCCCAAAAGATTCAGGGGTACAACTATAGAATGCAGGGCCACTTTACTCTACATCCGCGCCTCCGTACGGCTGCGTGGAGGCGTGGAGCCGCAGTCGACCTACCTCCGAAAATCGATTGCCGCAGTCGACCTACCTCCGAAAATCGATCGTGGAGTCGTGGGATCAAAATAAGGACAGCGCATAAAAAAATAAAACAGCACACCGTGTAAACTCAATGGCGCCCCCAATCACCAATCAGTAGACTTGTCACAGTAATTTTTCTTCTCCTTTCGGGGAAGGGCAGGGTTTTAAGAAATCATCCTGCACTGCTGCAGGGATATAGTCTTTCAAAGTTTAATCAACTTGAACGTTACAGGGAAAATATCAGACTTTATTCAGGGGAAGTTTTGGTAAAACATTCACTATGAAAAAAAAAAGTTGAGATTATTATAAAAACCACAATTCCCACATACCGCGATAATAGGGAGTCCACCTCCATTCGCACATTCCGAGCATGTCTATTTTCACAGGCATTTGAAAAGGAAGAGTTATACAACCTAAGAGACAGGACAATTCGGGAAGGTTAGCGAGCAATCTCTATTCCAAACAAGAAACGTGATAAGTACCGCGATAATACGGCGTTCCATCCTACATGCTTACTGCCACTGCCAGCATCCTACTGTCTGAAAAAACACCACGGAGACCAGACATTTCACTAAATGTCCAGAACTCCAGGTATGGAATCTTTCCGGAGTATTTTTTAACCCGAACCCACCTGACACTCCTCCAACATCCTCCTGGCGGTTTTGGAGGATTCTTGAGGATTGAGGATGAATAGTGATTGAATCAAATGAGGATTCTGGAGGATATTGAGGATGAATGGTGATCGAAGCACATGAAGATTCTGGAGGATTGAGGATGAATGGTGATTGAAGCACATGAGGATTCTAGAGGATTGAGGATGAATGGTGATTGAAGCACATGAGGATTCTAGAGGATTGAGGATGAATGGTGATTGAATCAAATGAGGATTCTAGAGGACTGAGGATGAATGGTGATTGAATCACATGAGGATTCTGGAGGATTGAGGATGAATGGTGATTGAAGCACATGAGGATTCTGGAGGATTGAGGATGAATGCATTTTGTGGCAGGACTGTCTGATGATTTTGAAGGATTTGGCATTGGTTATCCTTTATTTAAACACGAGTGCAAAATTTTGGGATGAGGAGGATTTTGGAGGATTGACGATGAATGCATTTTGAGGCAGGACTGTCTGACAATTTTGAAAAATTTAGGCGAAGTTGCAAAATTTTGGAGGATTGAGGATGGTTCCAAGCAAAAAGGGCCCAGGGGGTTATTAATGCTTTAATTGCATACATTGTTAGACTTTCTTTTTATAGCTCCATGATTGTATAGTCATTCTTCCAGAACTGTAAGTGTAAGGGTTTTAAACTAAGTTCAGGAAGTATGGTCAGGCCCTACAGGCCCCATTTTTATCGTTTGTAAATTTGTCAATTTTTTGGGAAATTGTTCTGAAATATCACAGTAATTATTGTCAACCAAATTCTTCAAACGATGCCCTTTCCAAAAATAGCAGATGAAAACAATATTTGAACTAAACCTTATGGTTAAGATGTTAAAATAACTTGTTTTCCTTTGTATCTTGAAGTTGTCAGAGTTTGAAGGTTCTACCAAGGATGTCAACTGTGGTGCACATACAGGATGCAGAGCACAGTGATGACGTATCACCATGGCAACGCGTATCGCTCAACATCACTTGAATGAGATTGTACCTGACACCGTTAATTGTAAAGAGCGCCACCTGTTGTTTGGTTTTCGATCAACATTATGCAGCAGATAATGCAGCAGTAGGCTATATAGGCCTGTACGTCAGGTAAGTCTGGACTATTTATTTCTCAAAATTCAACTTCTTTTCGGCGTTCTGGAAAGATTCCCATATATCTGGACATCACTATTTTTTTCTCTACAGTGACCTATATCACCATTAAAAGGGATAATGTGTTCAAAAATGTCGGATTTATAGCAGGGAAAAGTTGTTACCATTGCATGCCTACTGAGAAAACATGTCAAAGGACATTTCCTAGTCTTTGTTGGTCAGTGACGTCTGAGGTATGGGTGTCTTTCCGGAGTATTTTTGAATGCTTTGCATACATTGTTGGGTAAGACCTCTTTTTATAGCTCCATGATTGTATAGTCATATAGTCAGCAGGGCCAGGGCCTATTGTTTTTAGTTCACCGCACCTACCCCAATTAAGAACCCAGTATCAATGCACACATATAGTGGTGTTCCCTAACGTGGCGCACTGCGACGTTTCTCCTGACTTTCCTCATGCACGGTTGCCAAACTTCTTTGTTGATAAACTTCGAATTCATTCAGTTATTACTGGTACTTTTTCAGTAGTGTTTGCCATTTAAATTCTGTAAACAATTTCACTGTCATACAATTTTGAGCAAAATTTAAAAAAAACGGTGGTGTCCGGAAATTGGGCAAAAATCAGCTGAGTGTTCCCTAACGTAGCGCACTTGCATAAATCTTTGAAAATTCCAGGTTTACACTAAAAAAGTTATTTAAAGTTAGCAAATTCTTAATAAATAAATAAATATATCTCTACTTTACCCAACTAGAAGTATGTCAGAAAATTATTTTCTTATTTTGGGCTGAGTATAATGTGATTCGGGTTTGTAACTTTCGGGGTTGCCCTTCTTGGGGGTCAAAAGGTCAAAGGTCAACGTCATTGGTCAAGGTCTAGGTCATTCCATTGACCAGTATTAACTATTCTACTACATGTACTTGTAATTTCACACCTTATATCAACAAACTCAGGCCGAGGGGTTCCAACAGCACCGCTGTATTTTTTAGGAAAGTTGCAGTGAATGTTTATTGATTCATTTTATTTCATTAACAGCTTTGAAAATGGAGTTGAGGCCAGACAGACAGGGGGCATAGGACTGCATATTTGCTCTCAGGTCATTTTATCTAATGCATTTAATGTTAGACACTATTCGTTTGTGAACTTTTCTCCAAAAACCTGAAAATATTTATTGCCAATCACCCTCTATTATTCAAGACCAAAAGTGTTTAGAATTATTCTTGACCATTATCTTTATTTGGTGAACAATTTTGACCATCGTCTGAGTAGAGGCGTTTGCATGTTGATATTAGTGCTCAGGCATCAAATTACGTCAGGAATCGACCACTAGTCTCGCCCCAACTTGCTCATAGTTGTTTCTGTGGCATGGTTTAGCTGTATTTGTCCTTTTTGGGGGGAAGAAAGTAGTGCAGGTGGGAAAATTATCAGAAAAACTAAGATGACATTTTTGTATGTTTACGTTTCTAGAGTTACTTCAACAACGACGATAGGTTCAACTACAACTATGCGCAGGCCAAAGCCACAGCAGGCAACTACAAGGAAGCAGAGGAGGTAGGTTGGACTCCCGGACCCAATTTTTGTTGTTGCGCCCTCAATAGTTGGCCAGTCATGGCGCAGTGACTCGTCATGGTGCCTGAACTAGTCATGGTGCCTTTCATTTGCAAACATCAAAAAACCAAAACTACCAAGTTATTATGAAATACCTGACTGTTAGGGAATAATAGTCTCAAGCATCCTGTGAAATCACGGCACCTGGTGTGCTGTTAGTTTCTAGAAAAGTGGAATTTTGTATTGATTTCCACCGATGGTCGGCCCTGTTTGATAGAGAAGCCCGACTTACTGTCTGTTCTCATCCATACTGTTGCCGTATACCTAGATGTAGAACAAAAAGATATTCCAATAGCTTGTTTTCCCACGTGCTGCATCTCTTTGGAATTCCTTGCCTGGTGCTTATTTCCCTCCAACCTATGATCTGTCCTGATTCAAGAGGAGTGTGGAGTGCTGTGGCCTCGTGGTTAAGGGCGTTGGATTCGTGGTCTGCGGTAAAGCTGCAGGTTGTGGGTTCGAGTCCAGCCTGGGGTCATGGTGCGTGTGCCCTTGGGCAAGGCACTTTGTCACTCATTGCTTCTCCCCACCCAGGAGTAATAGGCTCTCAGCTTTGGTCCAAAAAATGGGCCACCGGTACCAGGCGATTGAAAAGAGCAATGCTCATAGCGATTTTTTGAAAGGCACATCTAGAGTTGGAGAATATGTGATAGCTTTGCAGTGTGAGTGGTGGCAGTGTTATCACTTTTGATTTGTGTTTTCAAAATTGCCGTCAATATGCTTGAACAGGATGAATTGTATTGTAACAAGCATGTTTTGGCTGCCATTTAAAAAAAAATTAAAAAAGTGATAGCACCCAAAAAGCTGCCACCGCTGCAATGCTGTCGCATATTTTCTGACTAGAGGGGTGCATACCTTGCCAAAAATCACAATGAGCATTATTGCCCTCGTTTGATACTGACCAAACCCCCACACTGATGGCTTATAAGTGGGTGCCTATGAGGGCAGAGATGGTGTGGTTGATTTAGCTGCTTTGCTCCGACTTGTAGCCCTGTATATCTGGAGTGGCTTTTAGCCTTGTTCAGGGCAAATAGGCATAAAAAAAACAAGTCTAAAACCCGGATGGGGATCTTTCTGTGCCTCCTAGACCACTGTTTTGGTTGGCAACACTTGGTTTTAGCATGATTTAATTGGAGTGGGTTTCGTTTCTCTTGTTTTGCAGATTTTTGTGCTCATTCAGAGTGAGAAGATCAAGAATGACTACACGTGTCTCTGGTTGGCAAGATGCTGTGAGTATTACCGTCAATTGTGAATGACGTTTCCTCTTCCAACTTCCAAGTTCCTAATGATGGGAATGAATCCACCTGTTAAGCCTCAACTCATAATGTATTGACCACTCACAATTGTGACTGCACAACCAAATGTCCAACTAAAGTCACGACACGTCGCGTGCATGCATTTCATGTACTGCTGGAAAATCCAGAGTGGCATTAGGGAGATGCACATGTTGCCCATGTGTGAGGTAGACTGAAGGGTCTCTAACAATGACATAACCAGAATGCAATCATCGCCCTGATCGTATATTAAGGATGTGACTTTGCGTTTCATTTTGTAAACGTTAAGCATATATTTTAAGAACCGTTTTAAACATTTAGCCAGTGGCTTTTGCCTACCCATTATGTCTGATCTGCAGACCGGCGTGATTGACATGATAAATCAACAATGGTTGACATAGTAAATAGCAGGCAGTCGTTGATAAAGTAAAAATGTAACTACGTGTTCCCCAAATGTAATCAAGTACTACGATGCTTCTAAGGTTTTGTAAATTAAGTAGGTTTTAAATCTGTGTTAATTATTTGTGCTATGTCTGGTTATCTCCAAGGAAGATCGTGTGAACGGAGGTCCCGTTTGTATAATTTGGGTTTAGTTTAAATGTTTTGAAAAATTTGTAAGCGGATTTAAAAGTTTTTTTGTTTAAACGTGTAAACTTCACATCTTAGTCGTACATTTGCCATGTTGGATTTGTTCTATCACATTTCAAGCAGATTGTACGACAGAAATTTGCTACATTGAACATCCCTCTTGGCTCCCAAATATTGTACACAGTTACACTGAGCATTGCTGGCCGAAAATTGCTGAAACGAGCATCCACTGAACCGAACCATCTTTTGTGGACCCCAATGTGTTTTCTGACAGCAGTATCCTATGTATTTATAACCTTTCTTTGTGTTGTTTTTCGTTGTTCAGGCATCGTGAATCGTAAGGCCAGACTAGCCTGGGAGTTGTACCTTAAGATGGAGACGTCTGGCGAATCGTTCAGCCTGCTGTAGCTCATTGCCAACGACGGCTACAAGGTAAAACATCATCCCCTATTTTTGTATGTTTGGTCAAGATTTTGGCATTAGCCCCAAATTAGTATCTAGTCACTCAATCTAAACCTGCAGCCGATTTCACAAAACACATTTGTCACTTCGTCAAAACCCAAATCGTAGAGAAAATGTCAATCTAAATATAACACACTTGTAAAAAAGAATGCACATATCCAGACGCCACTTCAGCCGTTGTGTACAAAGTCTATGGCGAGTCAAGAAAACTTTCCAAGTATTTCTGAACAAAATTGGAAATGTTTCTGCAGATTCGTGTTTGTGAAACATTTTTGCAATAACTCATCTTTATTGAGATGATGTGTGAAGACAAAAGTGGCGTCTGATTGCAACATTGTTTCCACGTGTAAAATCAACGAGAATACGAATCCCCGTCAAAAAGAAAAAAAAATGATTCATTGCACATTTACGACTTTGTGTCATTAGCTTGAATAATGAAGGATGCACTTTTGTGTCGCAAACTTTAGTAAGCATGTAGAGGGCATCATAAAATATTAGAATAGCCAAAAATCCCAACTGCTTAAAAAAATTGATGTGGGACAAATTCATCACTTTGTCAACACGGTGGCGATATGATCGAAAACTTCAGGCTTTTTGTTTGAACTTCTGATTTTTTGGCCTCGACCTCAAACTATAATTATCACGGAGACTCTTCTCAATTCTCATGTTTTCAACTTTTCTGTCGGTAGATGGGCCAGTTCTTCTATACAGCCAAGGCTTTCGATGTCCTGGAAAGATTGGACCCCAATCCTGAATACTGGGAAGGCAAGCGAGGGGCGTGCGTGGGCGTATTCCAGCAGATCATAGCTGGCCATGAACCAAGGTGGGTGTCATCTCTGTCAATCAGCAGTGCACACTGACCAATTAGATCTCAACCTTTGGTCAGGTGACCACAGTACATCGATCAAACAGTGCGTACTGACCAATTACATCTCAATAAGTATATCACTCCGGTGCTCTACCAACTGAGCTATCCAGCCCAATGTTGGCGGTTCCCTAATTGTCAATGTCTCTGTCAAAGGGGCGCTAGTCAGAAGCCCTCAACCCGCATATGCCATGCAGCCGGGGATCACGCCCAAAGTCACGATGCAGACCTGGGAAATATCAAACGGGGATCACTCAGAGAGGATACGGCTTTTTATTACAAATTTTCATGAATACTTTTCAGCTTCTTAGCCCTCTAGTTCAACTTCATTGATCTTTATGGATTTTTCCTTTGTCCCCATATTCTAAAAACAGCTTTCATTTTCACTATTAGGTTTTGCCCTTCACTGACGTATAAACACTGTATACTCAGTGCGTTACCTCCCGAGTGAAATTTGGAAAAAATCACTCGGTTGGGACTCGAACCCATGACCTCCTGCTTGTTAGTGCAGACGTCTTAACCACTGGACCATCAAGCTTACAGAATTGGTTGCCTGGCCAGCCAACCAACCCCGTAAGCTCCATGGTCGAGTCATGGGTTCGAATCCCACCCAAGTGATTATTTTTCCAACTTTCACTCGGGAGGTAACACACTGAGTATACAGTGTTTATACATCGGTGAAGGGCAAATCCTAATATTGATTGACATCGCCTCGACGCAAAGTCCATCTTGTTAATAGCTTTCATTTTCATGTGCACAAAACCCAGTGAAGTTCAAGCCACTAGATTTTTGTCATTTTTTTTCCTCTACAGAGAAACACTGCAAGACATCCTCCAAATCTTGCGCAACACCGGTAACCCACAGGTGGAATACATCATCCGTGTCATGAAGAAGTGGGCCAAGGACAACAGGGCACCAGTTTCCTGAGGTGGTCCCTATCCTATAGTCTTGAGATTGTTTAAATTTGTACATTCCAAAAACCCCTGCTTGCAAAGAGATTTTCAAAAAAATAAAATAATGGAACGATACTGTTGATTAGGGGTGATTTAATTATTCTTGACGCATGGGAAATTTGCCTTGAAATATTTCTCTATTTAGCTTTGGCAAGATGGTTATGCAGGAGAAAACAACAGTTCTGGAGAGAGGCTGGTCTCTCATGGCATAAACAAAGTAGGCTTGCCTAGTTAAGCTGGACTCTGTGACTCAGTCAGTGACTTGGTCAGTGACTCAGTCAACAACTCAGTGACTCGATCAGCGACTCCATGATTCAGTCAGATTCAGTCAGTGACTCAGTCAGTGACTCAGTCAACAACTCAGTGACTCGATCAGCGACTCCATGATTCAGTCAGATTCGGTCAGTGACTCAGTCAGTGACTCAGTCAACAACTCAGTGACTCGATCAGCGACTCCATGATTCAGTCAGATTCGGTCAGTGACTCAGTCAGTGACTCAGTGAGCGACTCAGTGACTCGATCAGCGACTCAGTGATTCAGTCAGTGACTCAGTCATTGATTCGGTCAGCGACTCGGTTAAGGAATCACTCAGTGACTCATTGAGCGACTCAGTGGTTGTCATCAACTCAGTGACTTGGTCAGTGACTCATCGCGCAGTCAGTGATTCGGTCAGTGACTCGGTCAGTCAGTGATAATAGTGACTGACTCGATCAGTTAGTACTCAGTGACTCGGTCGGACAGTCAGTCAGGCAGCATTGAAATGTTCATCATAATTATGAATGTTCACGTCACAAATGTTGCTTACATGTAGGACAACTCTGCAAGTTTGTTTTCTTGGAGTTTCTGGGGCCTGTTTAGAGACAAGCCAACGGCATGAGAATGGGCCAGGAATGGTTATTCAAGGAGGGGGTAGTCATCTGTACGTAATGTAATTATACTAATTAATGGTTTATATTGATATGAGTATATATGTACAAATTTTCGGATCACGTTTGTCAGGTAATTAGGGTGTAAGGTCCAGAAGGCAGGAAACAAATGGAAAATAAGTGATTTGAACTGAGCCCAATTTCATAGCGCTGCTAAGCACACAATTTCTGCCAGCAGAGCCTCTCCGTCTATCTATCACATTGTCAATACTATATTTTTTTCATGTACAATATTGGGAAAGAATGTTGCAACCTGATGCTGCTTTTTCTTCATATCATCTCAATGAAGTCATTCATTGCAAAAATGATGATAAGACATGAATCTGGGACTGAGAAATACTTCAGAGAAAATTGTCTTGACGCTCCATAGACTTTGCACACAACCGCTGAAGTGGCGTCAGGTTGCAACATTCTTTTCCAATATTGTGTGATATTCTGACTTCATTTCTTTATTTCATCTGTAAAAATATTAAATGTTTACTGCCTTTCTTCAAAGGCAAGATACAACATTTGCAAACATCACAAAACGAAATGATCAAATTATCATGAAATACCTTACTGGATTGTTGGGGAATGACAGTCTAAAGCATCCTGTGAAATCGTGGCTCCTGATGTGCTGACATTTTTAAGAAAAATGGTACTTTTCCAAAGCTGGTCGGCCAACCAGCTTTGGAGAAAACTGGCTATTTTTCAAAAATTGCTCTGAATTTTTCATCATTAGTTATTCCGCTCCTGATGTGCTGACATTTTTAAGAAAAATGGTACTTTTCCAAAGCTGGTCGGCCAACCAGCTTTGGAGAAAACTGGCTATTTTTCAAAAATTGCTCCGAATTTTTCATCATTAGTTATTCCGCTCCTGATGTGCTGACATTTTTAAGAAAATGGTACTTTTCCAAAGCTGGTCGGCCGACCAGCTTTGGAGAAAACTGGCTATTTTTCAAAAATTGCTCCGAATTTTTCATAATTAGTTATTCCGCATTTTCTTTGCAATTGATTACACACCTGTGAAGAGGTATAAGTCTGCTAGACTGATTCTCTGACCTTACAATTCCCCAAAGTCTATTAATTGCTCCGTTTTATCTTATAAGTGGGGTCATCAGACTGCAAATACATGTCTGGTTTTCTTGGCTTTTCCAGCATCTACAAGCCCAAACGTGAAAAAAAAGTCATTTTATCAATATTTGCTAAAACATACTAATCCTCCAAATCCATTTATTTCTGAAAATTGCAGCAAAAGCAAATGTTGTACAAATTTAAGTCCGATAAATCTTATCTTGCAGTGTAAATATTGTGTAGGTGAATTTTAAAAGTAAATGTGTACTTAAAATATTGTTGGAATGCTGTGCATAGTTCTTTGAATAAAGGGATATTAAATCATCACAATAAATAACAGTGAAAAAAATACCTGTTTGTTATTGATTTGTTTGTTTTCTTGGTAGTTTGTTTTGGATTCTGAAAACAAAACTTCAGTTCATTTAAAAGATAAGTTCAGTAAATTTATGTTTGGGCATGGGGATATAAAAAGTTGGGAAGGTGACAAAAAAAAGAATAATATAATTATGGTGGGACTCGAACTTGAGTCGCCTGATTGAGAATCCTACGCCGGTCCACAAGACCATTAACGCACTCAAATGTTATACTAGTTCTGCTTAATTACAATTGTAACATAGGCTTATCGTGGCTTTTCACGTTGACGCCCATGCACGCTTAGACGTAAAACACAGTCTGACGATGTAAAACATTCGTTAGATTTTGGGTGTAGCTGTTCTAATTGATCTAAATTTAATTGGAATAGGGTAAAGGGTGTCAACTGAGCTAAAATCGTGAACTTCAATGAAATAAAACTCGTACAATCCTTGGTTTCAGTTTGAAACACACGTGTTCAACGGATGCAGAGAAGCCTATTTCTTTTGTTAAATTCCTTTGTTGAATCTGGCGTTAACAATAAAATGTTTCCATTGAGGCGAAAGGATTAAACGCCGCGATCTTTTTTCACGCTTGAGTGCATCTGAATGGGGAATATTGAAGCGGAAAATCACGAATTACAGCACTTAGGCAGCATTTTATCCCACATAATGATACTTTTTGAAGAGGAAATTGCATACTGAATACATCTATAGTTTTAAAATGCCAAAATTCGCCGTATTTAAAAAGTCGAGGTAATTTTTTGGGAAAAATTTCACCCAAACTTTCCTCATCCTGACGTAGGCGGCGCTTTATATATTTCATTCTCAGTGCGCATTGTTATCGCGCTAGCCGCCGCCCCATCTGAGTATCACCCGCTATCCACTGTACCCAATCTTATCCTAGCATCACAATTTCAATTTATCTCACCAATAAAAGTTGAATAGGTCTACAACTAAAACAATAGATAATTAAGGTCTGTGAAACAAAATGCAATCAGAATAAAAGTCAACTTTAATGGAACAAAAGAGACGCGCCTAAAAGGGCCCCGGTATACCCATGAAGCAAGAGGGGGGCAGGGATTTGTTTTGTCGTGTGAGATGGGGGGAGGGGGGAACAAGCGAAATATTTTTACTAAAAGTCGTTAATGGAAAAATGTTTTTAAAAAAGGGTTATAAACCGTACATGTATACAAAACAGGCAGCCAGCCCCGCCCCCATCCCCTTGCAATGCCATACACACCCGATAATGCGCAAGCCAACTCTGGATACGGTGCACGTGCGAGAATGAAATATATATAGCGCCGCCTACGTTCGGATGAGGAAAGTTTCAGTGAAATTTTTCCAAAAAAATTACCTCGACTTTTTAAATACGGCGAATTTTTGAATTTTGAAACTACAGTTGTATTCAGTATGCAATTTCCTCTCCAAAAAGTATCATTATGTGGGATAAAATGCTGCCTAAGTGCTGTAAATCGTGATTTTCCGCTTCAATATTCCCCATTCAGATGCACTCAAGCGTGAAAAAAGATCCCGGCGTTTAATCCTTTCGCCTCAATGGAAACATTTTATTGTTAACGTAAGATTTAACAAAGGAAATTAACAAAAGAAATGGGCTTCTCTGCATCCGTTGAACACGTGTGTTTCGTACTGAAACCAAGGATTGTCGAGTTTTA